GGGAAAGAGCAGGAGCTATGGCACCTACTAAGTGACACTGGGCCACACACTGCCCTCTATGCCGCTCAGCTTCCCCATCTCTCAAGTGGGTGTTACTGTGAGGATTCATTGAGATGGTGGCCAAGACAAGTATTTGAAAGCCAAGAATGGCTTTGAAAAGTGCGAAGTTCTCCCAAACCATGTGACAGTCCTTGTTACCTCCTCTTTCTGGGTTTCCATGGATTCTTGGCAGTCACTGCCACTGCCTCTCATGTCACAGCTTTGCCTTCCCAAGTAAAGTCTCTACCCTTCACCTGAGTCGACCGGCCTCCAGGAGGAATAGTGTGGGAGGATAAGAAACAGCTCCCCACAGGACAATCAATGGAGCACTTTCCCACCTTAATCCAACAAACAGGATTTGAAAAAAAATAATGGCTTCATGGGACCAGCAGTTGGCGTAATGGCTATGTTGCTGGATTCCCATGTAGTCGACCATGGTTTGAGTCCCGGACCTGGTGGTTTGCATGCCTAAGATCCTGAGAGGAGAATGGAGGAGAAGTGATTGCAGCGTGGCCATCCCCCCAGGGGGGTGATTTCTCACTTTCTGTCTCTGTCTCTGTCTTTCTGGTGAGTGCACACACCCTCTAGCAAAAACCTCTCCCTCCCCCCAAAAAAATAAATAATGACTTCAGAGCCAGCTGTTGAGCCCTGTGCATGGGGAGCCAGATCCCACATGGCCAACAGCAGTTCGAATCCCATCCCTGGTGACTTGAGGAATGCTCCGGGCACATGTGCCTACGTACCCAAAATCCTAACAGGATGGAGAAATGGAGAAGAGGGGATTGCAGCGTGACCACACCCTACTGGGAGGACTCTCTCACTCACTTGCTCAAAAGAAAGAGCACATTCCCTCTGACAAGAAAAATTAGAAAAATGAAAATAATAATTCAGATACTATAAAGCTCACCCTTTAAAAGTTTGCAGTTCAGTGGGTTTTAGCATATTTACTAAGTTAATTGTCATTCATTGTCACGATCAAATTTCAGAATATTTTCACTAACCGCCCAATAACACCCCCACCTCTGCCAGTCATTCCTCACCCCTTCCTTAGACCCATCCGTCCAAAATGTCAAGAGGGCCTCTCAGTTCTGGGCATCTGATGGGTATTGGGGTGGTTTCTGCTCCTTGGCTTTTATTAAGAACACGGCTATTCTGCATTTCTGTGTAATTTTTGTGCACATTTATGTCTTCTGTGCTCTTGGTTCTGTACTTAGAAACAGGACGGCTGGGTCATGAGTAACTCTATGTCTAACCAGATGAGGAACTGACAAACTATTTTCACAGTGGCTTTACTGTTTCATGTTCTCATCAGCAATGTATGAGGGTCCCAATTTCTCCGTGTGCGCGCAGTGCTTGTTATCTGTCTTAACCACAGCCATCCTCAGGGGCAGGAAGCGGTACCTTACTGTGGCTTTGATTTGCATTCCTCCAGTGACTAATAATATTGATCACTTTTTCATGTACGTATTGGCCATTTGTATATATTCTCCAGAGGAATGTCTATTCTGATTCTTTGCTCTTTTTGTTTGTTTGCTATAAGGCAGAGAGAGGTAGAGAGAGAAAGAAAGAAGGAAAGTGAGAAATCACCCCCTTGGGGGGAATGGCTATACTGCAATCCCTTCTCTGTTCTCCTCTCAGGATTTTTGGGCATGTGCACACATGTGCCTGGCATTTTCTTCACGCTACTGGGTCCAGAACTCAAACAGTGAAGTTGTTCATGCAGGATCCAGCTGCCTTAACCACCACACCATCTGCTGGTCCCCTTTTGCCCATTTTTTAAAGCTTGTGTATTTTATTTCTATCTTCCATGAATCATATAGACAGAGAAACAAAGACAGAGAGATAAGCACCCCCAACGGAATCTTCATGCTGTGATCCACCTCCAGCTTCAGCCAACCCCAGATTATGGACACACGTGCCCCCAGAGTACTCCGGGAGGTCTCTGATTGCAAACCTGGAACCCTCCTGTGTGGGCCAGCCTGGCAGAGTGTCACATTTTACCTCTGCACCCGTGTTCAGCCTCCTTCGCTCACTTTTAAAGTGAGTCATTCATCTTTTTAATATTGAGTCATAAGAGTTCTTTATGTAGTCTAGATGTAAATTCCTCATTGAGTATATTATCTGTTTTTATTTTTCCCCTTTTTTGGTGATGTCCTCTGTGGCACAAAACTTTTAAATTTTGGTGAAGTCCAAATTATGTTTTCTTTTATCACATGCTATTGGGGTTATATTTAAGAAATCGCTGGCTAGCTCAAAGTCGTGAAGATGTATTCCCATGTTTCCTTCAATGAAATCAATTGCACAATCCTAGTAAGTGGCAGAACTGGGATTTAAATCTGGATGCCTGAACTCCAGAACTCTTAACCTCTCATGGTAAATGGCTCGTCTTTCTTCTCACGGCCCCGCAGGGTTCTGGATGTTTTCTATGCACTTACCATCGAAAATGGAAGTCTGGCAGGTGAACATGTGCCCTCTTCAAAGAGTGTGAATGAAGAAAAGCAGATGAAAGGATGGATGAATAGATGAATGAGGTGTTGGACTGATGAATATAGGCCTGGGGAAAGCACATGAGAGGATATATGAATAGATGACTGAGTGAGGTGATGATGGACAGGAGAGTATATGAGATAGATGAATGAGAAGGTGTGGATGCAAGGTGTGTGTGGTGGGGTGGTTTGGGTGAGGGTGTATAAAAGGAAAGTATTAGATGAGAAGTGGGTGGAAGGATTGAAAAGTAAATAGGAAGGTGGATGGATGAATGGACTTATCGTTGTGGAAGAATGGATGGATGAAGCTCTGTTGGGCCCAAGTTAGACTATCTGAAGGAGACGCCTTGCTTTTCTCAATTTTCCACCAGGATGACAGCATAAATAGTCCACTGAAGAGCTTGAGGTAAGAGGAATCTTCTGAATAGTCCTTTTATCACCTGAAAAAACAGAGCAAAATCTGGGTCATATTGGCTATAAGTGTGGGTTCTGCAATTATACCAACCTGGGTTTAATTCCTGGCTCCTATTCATTCTACCTGACTGAATTGTGAAAGTCACTTCACCTCTCTAGACCTTTGACTTCTCATTTAAGAGATGAAGCATAACATCCACTTTGCTATAGATAATTATGGACATTAAAGAAGATTCAAAGTGTCTTGAATAATTTCTAGCCCACAGTCAGTGCTCAGCAAATGGTAGCTGAGAAGAAATTTTAGCTGTCAAGATACCATCCAGTGACAGCATCCTTAACTGCAGAAAAACATCAAATATCTTTATTTTTAAAATTATTTTATTGAACTTTATTTTATTTATTGATTTAATTTGACCAGAGAGGGAGAGAGCAGGAAAAGAGAGAGAGATTGAGGGAAAGTGAGGAAGCAAGCCTCCAGGTCCGGGACTTAAACCATGGTCAGCCATGTGGGAATCCAGTGCCCTTACCTGCCACGCCACCTGCAAGCCACAATACTTGAATATTTGGAAGGAATAATTGAGCTTAAAAATGTTCCAAGCAATCATTGATGGTAACATGCATGATTAAGCCACTATGAAGTATATTCTGGATGGGAAATCACATTTTGTATGCTGTGACGATGCTTACAGAATGAATGTAAATAAATTTTTAAAAGTTTCAACAAAAAAAAAAAGTTCCAAGCAGAAGGAATAAAATGAGTAATGTTTTAGAGATATGAACCTACAGGGTGGGCCTAAGGGTGAGCCCAAAAGAGTAAAAGAATCTAAAACTAGTTCTTTGAGGGCTGATTAGCAAAGGGAGAATCTGAGGGTAACAATAGCAGCATTGAAAATCAGTCACTTCTTGTTTTCCTCCTTCCTGACAAGGATGTACCAGGAGAAGGTGCGACATCACACTGGGGAAATCCAGGACCTCCGAGGTAGCATGAACCAACTCATCGCCAAGCTCCAGGAAATGGAAGCCATGTCAGATGAGGTTAGATGCTGATCATTCTACTCCCAAACACCTAACTTCTCTCTTTGTTTGATGTCATATTTCTTATATCCCAAGTCATCTTCCTTGGTTTTATCCTTCATTTTGATGGACCATGTCCCCCAATAACTTCATGAAAAGACAGGTTTTGTTTTGTTTTAAGACTTGCAAGTTTAAAAGATCTTTATTCTACTCCTGCACTGGATTGATAGTTTGACTGGGTATAGAATACAGGAGGAAATAGTTCCTCCTGAGAATTTTTAAGAAAGTCCATTACTATTGTTTATACTACTGCTATTGAGAGTCTAATGCTACTTATTTTTTTTTTATTTTATTATCATCATAATCTTCTTTCTATTACACTAGATTACATATAACTTTACATTGACTTATTTTTTGATACTTTGAGTGTCATTGGTTTTTTATCCCTGGGAGCTTACAGGATATTCTTTTTGTTTTCAATGTTTTATGTATAACACACTTGGGAGTTTGCAGACCTTATTGAATCTGTGAGTTGATATTTTTCAATAGTTTGGGGAATTTCACAGCTTCTATCTCTTAAAATATCACTTCTCTTTTTTTCATTATTTAGAGAATACTTTATTAGTTTTTATAATCAAACCCATGTAGATAAGACCTTACATATTTAATATAGTGTGTTACCCCTGTACACATGGAAAAAAAAATAAGTTTAACATTTCTAGACCAATATGGCTGTACACAATAAATTGGGATACTTTTTCCAAAGTTGACAACACAGCTAAAGTTTCCAAAAATTCAAATTAAATATATATATATATATATATATATATGACAAATAATAGCAATATTTTATGCATCAATAGCAGCAAAAACTTTTCCAGGTTCTGCAGTCTTCTGAACAAAATTATAGAGACATCCACACTCTATGAAAAAAAAAAAAAGAAGAAGAAAAAAAAAGA